GAAGTGCAGAAATTGTGAATGACCTATAGGAAGGTTTTCTACATGTAGAAATGCAGAAATTATAGAAGATCCTATAGGCATGCTTTCTAAGCGCAAAAAATGCAGAATTATAAAAGATCCTATTGGCATGCTTTCTACCCTTTACATGGATTCATTCCCCCATCCCTTTTCACCATCCATCCCCAATAGTTATTACAAAGTTATTACATACCGAATGGATCAAAAAGAAAGTAAAAAAAAATTACAGCAGCGCTTACAGCTACATCTAATTAGCCTAATTTTGACTCAAAGTCCAACAATATGAGATAAACCACTTCCAGGATCAGATTTCCAAAAGACTTTCTCATATTTGGAGTGTGTCAAAGTTCCCAAGAGTCTCAAAGGGACTCCGGGCAGTGCTTACACCCCAAAAACATTTCAGAATCAAGAGCATCGTGCAGTGTGGAGATGCCATCCCTCAGATGTCCAAGTTCAGAGGGAACTCAGGGTCCCAAAGCAAGGCTCATAAGAGAGGGGCAGAACTTAGAATCTAAGAGTAAGTGTAAGTGCATAGGGGGAAGGGAATCAGGGAGAGACACGGCAGGCGGGTGGTCATGCCCAGCAATTGGGATGCTGGCACACCCCTGACCAGCCTGCTAGCCAAACATTGAGAGTTAGGATCCATTGTGGATCAAGTCATGGCCTGGGCAGTAATTAGGATACTGTCAGGCCAAGACCTTAACTCATCACATAGAAGGGAATAGGGATAGGGATCCATGACAGAAACAGAAGCAAAGAAAAGAGATGTGAAGCACAAATTACAGCATGTAAGCAATAAAGTAAACAAGAAGCCTGAACCTGTAAAGTAACCACATAGGGGTGAAGCAGAATATTTAAACAAAGGACATACCAGTTTCAAAGAAAATAAGTAAGCAAAAGTAGCCTCGAAAAAAAACCAAATTGCAAACAGCATTTCCAAAAGATTTCAAGTAAAGCAGGATTAGAAAAATAGTATTGCTCGAAAAATGAGTTTCGTGTGTGAGTGGTGTATTTTTGTGTGTTTCTGATTATGAGAGAATTCCCTGATGATAGAAAGAGGGAGGACTAGGTCCTTATATAGTTTTCAAAAACAGGCAATACATAGGCAAAGAGTGCACAAACATGGAAATAACAATCAATTAGTATCAATTAAGACAACTGGACTCCTTTAATTGGGGAGTCTAGTTCNAAACTGGTAACCACATAGTATAATCAATTCGTTATTAGGCCTAAGTTGCCTAGGCGTCATATACATTGTCTAATTGTCTTAGAGAGTGGACATGCATATTTGATTCTGATTTAAAAAGAAAGGATACGCATAGTACTTGTATTATTGGATTAAGCATGCTAATAGGCGTTTTCACAATTGCAATCCAGATAAGTATAAATCTCTAAGCAGCAGGATGTCTAATGCACAGAAGAGTTCCTAAAACATGATCTCTACTATGCCAATGCAGTAACGACAGTTTGTTAATAATTAAGATTACGAAGTGAGTACAATAACATGCTGAGAATAAAAGACCTAAAACAGGATTTCTAACATATGAAATGCATGTCCTAAGCAGGTTATTTATTGCGCAAATAGGTAAATAAAAACCTATAAACATGTTTTCTACCCAAAGAAATAAACATGCATACCCCTCCCCCATATTCACTATTCAGCCCCCAATCATTCATTTACAAATTATTACAAACCAGTAGTATCTGAATTACAGTAATGAAATAAAAAAATAAAAATTTATTCTATAGGGAGCCTTCAGTAGGCCCAAATCCTCCAAACTTTACTGCCAAAATAGCCTTTCTTAGCTTGGGTGTGCCAAAGTTCCCTAAGGACCTCGAGGGCTCTTGGGCCATGGTCACGCCCAGACTTAGTAACCAGGAGTTAAACATGTGCAGTGTGGAGATACCAGCCTCAGTGTGTGAGAGTTCAGAGGGTACTCAGGAGGTCCCCAAAGCAGTGCTCACACTGAGGGGGTGGAACTTAAGCATCTAGAAATAAAGTGAAGTGCAAGAGAGTTCGAAAATGTTTTGACAGTGTTGAAAGGAATTTCACTTAAAACATTTCGTAAAAACAAAGAGAGTCTGTTTAGTAAAAAAAGAGTTTTTTTTTTGAAAAGCAGAATAGAGTAATAAACAACAAGCACCTCCAAAGATAGATTCATACACAGCCAAAGACCCCAGAACCAATGCTGGTCCAGCAAGCACAAACAGGGATAGTGGGGGCTAAGGACACATAGGACAAAAACTGTAACCCAGCGAAGGTCTAGGACTAGCTCAAACACTTTCAGGCATAGTCATAGGAAAGGAAAACAGATATGAAGAACAACCACATAGAGGGGTGATACGGATTTGGGATAAGTATGCAAGTCATGCTTGGAAACACACATAAAGGGGGTATACTAATCCAAATGGAAGGGAAGACATAATAACATGCTAGTAATACATTTTAATTACAGATTTCGCAGGAGAACCACAAATAGAAGCAAACTAGAGATAGTAAGAACTGAAACAAATAGAGAATCACATTGTTGTTGGACCTTTGAATTGAAACTAGGACATACCAGTAAAGAGCAAGAGCAGGATGCAAAGATAAAGTGATAACACAATTTTAGCCTTGGCTTACAGCCGGCTAATAATAGGCAAGAGCAGAGAACAGCAATAGAGAAAAAGAGCAAGAGATGAAGAGCACAAGAGAATGTATAATTGAGAGTATTCCGTGATGTCTGTAAATGAAAGAGTAGTGTATTTATAGTTCAAAAAATGGGTAGAAAATAAGGTAAGAAGTAAAGTCTAGTGTAATTATGGAAGTAAATACAATCAGAATCCCAATCAATGTAAGTACTCCCTTTTAATTGGGGAGTCCTAGTTCAAACGGCTACCAGGGTAACAAATAAGGAAAGAGACTAATTGAAAGACTAATTTCAATCATACATAGAGTAGTAAAGAATAAGGTGTGTGATTAGGACCAAGTACAGAACATATGAATTAAGGAAAGTAAGAATCAATTGGCGACATGCTTACACATAAAATAAGGTAGAGTATCATTTTGAAAATCAGTAAGAGATCCCCTAGTATCGCAGGGAATCAGTTATCAGTTAAGGCAGATGTCAACAAGTAAGGAAATTCACAAAATCAGTGAAGAGTGTTAAGGCAAGTATCACAGTTAAAGAAAAATACATAAAATCAGCAAAGAGTTCTAAGGCAAGTATCATGGTTAAAGGAAAATACACAAAATCAGTAAAGTACTAGTCACAATCATTCAAGGATTCAAAGTGGCAAACTAATACTGATTTAAAGGGAATGAACACACATTAGACGAAAATAAGAAACCCTGGTATATAAATTTAGGAGTCATGTGAGTCAGGGATGCGAGATGAACCCAAAGACAAACAGCATAGGGTAAAGATTAGTGAAACATGAACGCAAATGCAAGCACACAGGAAAAAAGAGCAGCTTTCAAGGTTCTAAGTCTAAAAATTAGGGTTTCACACAGATACTAGTACGAATCAATAGAGTAGACATGATACATGCAAAGGAGACGAAGAGCCATAAACCCTAATGGGAAAGCAGAGTAGAATCACTAGAATTTCAAGCCATCCATGATAATCAAACACATATACTGACCCAATAACATGGAAAAGACTTCAACAATGGTAAATATGAAGGAAAATCATGAGCTAGTGTTAAAAATCGATAAAGAAAACCATTTTGAGAAAGGGTTTCGGAACCCTAGTTAAAAGTGAAGGTCCGTTCAGAAAAATAGAAAGTTTTTTAAAGGAAACATCGTAATAACTCGTAATATGCGTAGATCTACTGTAAATCTAAAAGAATCGGAGGTTCCAAACATTAGGGTTTCAAAGAAAACCTCAGAGAAGATAAGAAGAACCTCAAACATTACTGGTTCGAGCCTCCAAGGTCACAGGCCTCACTCGAAATCAAACTTCGGAGGCCTGAAGCAAACAGGAACACCATGGGTGTGAGTAGACGGGTCCTCTCCCTTTGAGGGCCTTAGGGATGACATTTACCGGCATGAGAGAACCATACAGAGGCAGAGGGTGAGGAATCCATGGTCTCCGGTGGAGAAGGTCGCCGGAGAAGATGAAGGGATTCGTCGAAGAAGGGGAAGAGACAGAAGTCTCTAGAAGAGACTAGAGATAGAGAGAGAGAGTAGAGAGATGAGACACTGTGAAGAATGAGGGGTCAGTGGGGGTAGTTAGAACTTTAATTAAGGAAAGGTAATCTGGGCCGTTGATCTTATTTGATCCACGGATCAGATTAAATCGGGGTTGGGCCGGGTTATATTAGGGATTGGGCTGGGGTGAGTTTAATTGGGTATTGGGTCAATTAAATCTGATGGGGGGTGTGGTTAAATTGGTCAGCATTTAAATAATAAAGGGTTGTTTGTTAAATAGCCAATTTTTCCTCTTTTATTTTTTATAAGATAGTTAAAATAGATTTTAAAACAAATTAAAGGTACTGGACTAATTAATAAAGTATAAATATTAATCTAGAAATACTGTAAATGATTTTACAATTGTAAAATGATGCTAATCGTAAAAATAGGCTATAATTGCAACTATATGCAACTTAGCTTTAAAAATACCAAACAAATGCGTAAAAAATATGCAAAAATTATCTTAATTATATCTTGGTGTAAATATAAGAATAAAAATCGGTTAATCACAAAAAGGATAATTTTTTGGGACAATTATTGGTTTTGTACTGCTAAAATGGACAATAAATTGCTTTTAAAAACTTTAAAAATAAGGGAAAATACCAAAATTCTTGGGCATGCTTATATATGCATGTACATGATATTTTGAGACTATTTTGAGTATATAAAAATACATGGGGAAAATTGGGTATCAACACCACTACTGACATGGGACGAGTTCACTAAGTTGTTCAAGAATCATTTTCTTCCAGACAGTCTGATGCAACAATATGCTAGAGACTTTAAGAGTTTGGTTCAGACTCCAGATATGGATGTGTCACCATATAACACTGAGTTCTGTAAGCTGGCTATATATGCTCCTCACTTAGTGTCTTCCGAAGAAGCTCGAGTTCAGAGGTTTGTTGATGGATTGGTTGGTCGTCTATACGCTGCAGTAGCCCCACAGATGAAGACTTTATCCTACTCTGATGTAGTAGACCTTGCTAGAAAGATTGAAAACAAGGGACATGAGGAGCGTGCAGCTAGTGAATTACGTAAGAAGGCCAAGACAAGAGGGGCTTTCAGTGGCGGTTTTAGTGAAAATAGAAGAGCAGGAAATCAGGGACAACAACACAAACAGGGTTCTCAGACAGGGACACACATGTCTTCATAGTCCACATACAGATCATATTATAGATAGGGTACTACTGGATCGTCAGCATCTGAACATCGTAATTCTGGGCAGATATATGCCACTACTCCAGTCTGCCAGACCTGTGGTAGATCACATTTGGGCCAATGTCGTGTTCTAACGGGAGAGTGCTTTCGGTGTGGCCAGTTGGGACATCACTTGAGGGATTGCCATCAGCCTTCGAGAAATTTCAACCAGGCTTCTATTCAGTTAGCTGCACCGACTCAGACTACTCGTAATACTTCAGGTGCTACAGGTACAGGAAATAGAGGTTGAGGTGCTGGAGACCGTGCTACTGTGAATCAAGGACAAGAGAATGTTGGTAGAGGTCAGGCGAGAGTTTTTGCATCTACTAGACAGGATGCTCAGGCCTCGAATGCAGTGGTTACAGGTATTCTTTCTGTCTGTTCATTTGATGCACTTGCGTTGATTGATCCGGGATCTACTCACTCTTATGTGTCCTCGTACTTTGCTTTGAGGTTTAGTAGACACCCTGAGCTATTGAATGATCCGTTTCTAGTTGCTACTCCCGTTGGAGAGTCTCTATTAGTTGAATACGTGTATCGTGCTTGTCAGATTTGGGTTGAGGGTAGAGATACTCTAGATGACCTTATTGTACTTGATATGATTGACTTTGATATGCTAATGGGAATGGATTGGTTATCTTCTTGCTATGCTATAGTCGATTGTCATGCAAAGATAGTAAAGTTTGAGATACCAAATGAACCTAGTTTTATTCTAAGAGGGAGTCAGGTTCCAAAGACTTGCAAAATTGTATCTTTATGAAGGCTCAACGACTTCTGAAGAAGGGTTGCTTGGGTCTCTTGGCTATTGTAAATGATACAAGAAAGGAAACAGTTAGTATAGAAAATTTACCAGTAGTGAGAGAATTTTCTAATGTATTTCCTGAGGATTTACCAGGATTGCCTCCAGTACGAAAAATAGACTTTGGTATTGATTTGCTACCTGACGCACAACCCATATCGATACCCCCATACCGAATGGCACCAGCAGATTTGAGGGAGCTAAAGCAACGGTTACAGGATTTGTTATATAAGGGTTTTATTAGACCTAGTGTATCACCATGGGGTGCACCAGTACTGTTCGTAAAAAAGAAAGACGGATCCCTTAGAATGTGCATTGACTACAGGCAGTTGAACAAGATAACAATACGCAATAAATATCCTTTGCCTCGTATAGATGACATGTTTGATCAGTTACAAGGAGCTGCCCATTCTAAGACTGCTTTCAGAACTCGATACGGGCACTATGAGTTTCTTGTGATGCCTTTCGGACTGACAAATGCTCCAGCTGCATTCATGGATTTAATGAATAGGGTGTTCAAGCCATTTCTGGATAGATTTGTAATAGTATTTATTGATGATATCCTGATATATTCTCGTAGCCAAGGAGAACACGAGAATCATCTCAGGACTGTGTTGCAGACATTGCAAGAACATCGGCTTTATGCTAAGTTCTCGAAGTGTGAATTCTGGCTAGACTCGGTAGCATTTTTGGGGCATGTTGTATCCAAAGATGGAATTATGGTAGATCCTAAGAAGATTTAAGCTGTGCAGAAATGGCCCAGACCTACATCTCCTACAGAGATTCGCAGCTTTTTAGGCTTAGCAGGCTATTACAGGAGTTTTGTGCAGGATTTCTCCAGAATAGCAGCTCCACTGAGCAATCTAACACAGAAAAATGCAAAGTTTCAGTGGACGGAGGAATGTGAGCAGAGCTTTCAAAAACTCAAAACATGTTTGACAATTGCACCAATATTAGCCTTACCATCAGGTCCTGGAGGATTTACAGTATTCTGTGACGCCTCGAGAGTGGGATTAGGATGTGTTCTCATGCAAAATGGTCGTGTTATAGCATATGCTTCGAGACAATTGAAAAAAGCACGAGCAAAACTATCCTACACATGATTTGGAGATGGCTGCAGTGGTATTTGCTCTAAAAATTTGGAGATATTATCTATACGGCGAAACTTGTGAGATTTATACTGACCATAAAAGTCTGAAGTATATCTTTCAGCAGAGAGATCTAAATCTTCGACAACATCGTTGGATGGAACTACTAAAAGACTATGATTGTTCTATTTTGTATCATCCTGGAAAAGCCAATGTGGTGGCTGATGCATTGAGTAGAAAATCTATGGGGAGTTTGGCACATATAGCCCCTGCAAAGAGACTTTTGGCCAAAGATATTCAGAGACTAGAAGATACAGGTATCAGATTTAGTGTCGGAAATTCAGAGGCATTGTTGGCTTGTGCTCAGGCTAAGTCTTCATTAGTTGAGCGCATTAAGGCCACCCAATATGAGGATGAACGATTATGCAAATAAAGAGATGAGGCCTTAGCTGGTAAAAGCAAGGATATGATTATTGAAAGTGATGGTGTTCTTCTAATGGGTGACAGGCTTTGTGTAGCAGACGTAGATGGGTTGAGACATGCTATTCTCTAAGAAGCTCACAACACTAAATACACTATACATCCTGGATCCACAAAAATGTACAATGACCTGAAGCAATTTTATTGGTGGGAAGGTATGAAGAAGGATGTTGCTAACTTTGTTTCTAGTTGTTTGACTTGTCAGTAGGTCAAGGCTGAGCATCAGCGACCCGTAGGACTACTACAACAAATTGAGATTCCAGAGTGGAAATGGGAAAGAATTACTATGGATTTTGTCACCGGGCTACCACGAACCCTTAGTGGTTATGACTCGGTAATTGTAGATCGACTGACGAAATCAGCACACTTTTTGCCGGTGAAGACTACATATGGTGGAGTGAAGTATGCACAGATATTTATGAACGAAATTGTTCGACTTCACGGAGTTCCAGTATCCATCATTTCTGAGAGAGGATCACAGTTCACTTCACGCTTTTGGAAATCTTTTCAAGAAGCATTAGGTACACGAGTAGATCTTAGTACTGCATTTCATCCACAGACAGACGGGCAGTCTGAACGTACTATTCAAATCTTGGAGGATATGTTGAGAGCTTGCATTCTTGAGTTTGGAGGTAGTTGGGACACTTATCTACTGTTAGCTGAATTTGCTTACAACAATAGCTTCCAGTCCAGTATTCAAATGGCACCGTATGAAGCATTGTATGGTAGAAGATGTCGTTCTCCTATCGGATGGTTTGAAGCTGGTGAGACTAACTTATTGGGACCCGACCTAGTACAAGAAGCTATGGACAAGGTCCAGTTGATCAGACAAAGATTGCTTACAGCTCAAAGTAGACAAAAGTCTTATGCTGATAAGAGAAGAAGAGATTTAGTGTTCACAATTGGAGAAAAAGTGTTCCTACGAGTCTCTCCTATGAAAGGTGTGATGCGATTTGGGAAAAGAGGCAAGCTGAGCCCCAGGTTTATAGGACCGTATGAGATACTCGACCGAGTGGGAGAGGTGGCTTATCGTTTGGCACTTCCTCCTGAGTTGTCCTTTATTCATCCAGTTTTTCATGTCTCAATGCTAAGAGAATGTATATCAGACTCATCTCAGGTGATTCAAGCACCTATTATACCACTTGATGAGAAGATGTCTTACGAGGAGGAGCCTCTGGCAATTGTTGATAGGCAAGTAAGAAAGCTACGGTCAAAAAAAAAAATTGAGTTCGTAAAAGTCTTATGGCAAAATCATACAGTCGAAGAAGCTACTTGGGAACTAGAAAAAGATATGCAAGCGAAGTATCCCAATTTGTTTCAGTCTACAGGTATGTACTTAAGTTAAATTCGGGGACCGAATTTCATAAGGTGGGGAGGATGTAATACCCTATATTTTTTTATAAGGGTGTATTGGTCATTAGCATAATAATAACAATAATAACAATAATAATAATAATATAAGAAACTAACTATAAAAAAACTAATAAACAAAAAAAAAGAATAAGGATTTCACAAAATGGGCCCAAACCCATAAAATGTAACTATATCAACACAAACGAAAGAAAGGAAAACAGAAAAAAGGGTTCTGCTTCAGAACGCAGAAAACGAAGTTCAAAAAGAGGAGGAGAAGAAGAAGAGGAAAAAAAGGCTGGAACCAAACTTTGAGAAAACTTAAATACGCACTGGTTTTTACGGGTAATACTCGAATTTCTCATCTGGGTTCTTTTCTTCTGGTAATTCTTTTTATCTCAGTTCATATATTTGAAGGGTTTCACAAGGTATACGAAATTAAATACCAATAAGAATTATTCTGGGTAAATTATATGAATAGGTTGGAGTTGATAGATTAGCAATTACTCATATGCGGGTAAATATAATTCGGCGAATTAAGAGTCAAATGTGGAACCTCGAGGGTTGGGTATTCTAAATTAGCTATGAATTAGCCTAAACATAGAAATTAATATGAGACCGGTATTATGTAATTATAGATTGAATTGGAGGAAGTTGTACGAATTGCTCAAGGTGAAGCATTTGGAATTTCGGCACAAGTACTGTGAGTAGTAATCTTACCGCAATTTGTGTTTTCATAACCTGCATGATATACACATGATTTTTAATATGAATATGTTACCGATTAATTTGAGTTACATGTGGGACAAGTCTTTTACTTGATATGATACCGAAATAGTTATTTGAGATAAATACTGTGGTTTTAAATATTTTCGTTGTCACTAGATCTGTTTTACCGTTACTTGAATTTACTGTTATCGAAAAGAAATTATATGATTTGATAAGAACCGAAATGCCCTATATTGTTTTAAAATATTTTCTATGAGTATATACGGATTACAGAGACAAGTATAAATGGGAGTAGACATTGAATGATCCCGTAGCTAACGGCGGGTTCGTTAGACCTGGTGCACCTTGTAATTACAGATTACCGTTATAGCCCTTGCTAGTGGGAAGGTAGAACTAGCATACCGTTACAGATTTCCCTCGAGTAGGGACTACCGTTATATTTGACTTCTTGCAAAGAAGTCTACAGTTATATCGATTACATGATCCATTCATTGAAACCTCCCAACATGTGAATATTGATATTATACAGTGGTTACCGAGCTTATTACTGGATTTTTAATTGTATTATACTACAAGGAAAGCATGATGAGACTGAAAATTATTTGTAGTCTAAAAGGGCATTTTTATGTATTTTCTCTTTGAGATACTAGCATGTTTCTGACTTGTCCCCAAATAAAAATGGTTGTGGTTAAGTGTTATTACTCACTGAACTAGCAACTCATTCCCCGCTAATTTTTTTTACAGAGACAGCAGTTGACGCAGGCGAGGATTTCGTTAATTAGAGCGCACAGGTTGATAGTTCTT